TCAACGAGCGTTTCAGAATCCGATAGTAAGCTAGCAAGTGATTCAGTATCAGACAGTCGCTCAACAAGCACATCAGTCTCATTGCGTGATTCAACATCAAAGAGTGAATCGACTTCAACAGTTGCTAGCGATTTAGCATCAAATTCAGCAAGTTTGAGCACCAAAAATTCAACTAGTACGACAATCACTAGTGAAAATGTATCAACTTCTGAATACAGTGAATTAAATTCTACGAAATCAAGTGAAAGCTTGTCCACATCAAGTTCACAGGCAAACGAAAGTCAGTCTCTTTCAACGATAGCTAGTGATGAAATATCAGCAAGTGACAGTTTGAGTACAGCAGAATCAACAAGCGCAGTAATAGTGAGTGAGCATAATGCCACTAGTGTTAAGTTATCAGATGCCACGTCATTAAGCGACAGTACGGCAATTGTCAACCAAAGTGACTCAACAAGCGTTCGCGTCATGCCGTCTGAAGAGACATCAATGAGTGAGTCAAAATCGCAATCAGTAAGCGAATTTACGAGTGAGTTTGATTCGACGTTGACTAGTCTACATCAGTCAGAAGTATCAAGTGAACGTCAGTCAAAATCACAAGTAGATGACGCAACTGACAATATTGTCGTTAAAAGTCAAGCAACCGATCGTGTCCAAACACTTGAATCGACAACTGGTTCGAATATGACAGCAAAGTTGACTACTACGGCGCCAACAATTAGTGCCGAAAAAGTAACTAGCACGAATAGCTTGAGTGTACCCAGTCAGGCAACAGTTCTGAAAGGTCTGTTACCAGAAAATCCGAAAATTATTACGGCACGTCGTATTTTGATTGGACAATATGAAACGGGTGACAAATTCAACATTAGGTTAATCTTAGAGATTTTAACGCCACTGATCTTAATTTCGGGCTTCTTATTGGCAGCAAAACGTCGTAAAAAAGAAGAAGATGCAGAAACAAAGTAATTTATTAAGGATATTGCATCATTAGATAAAAAGTCTCTATAATTGTGATATAAACCACATTTATGGAGACTTTTTTATGCTAAACTGGTTAAAAGAGGGGTTATAATGATATTTTTACTTATTATGTTCATAATATTGACGTTAATGATGGTGACTTTTACAATTCAAAATTATCGCAAGTATGGCACACTTTTTGTGCCATTATTTTTAACCCTCTTGCTGATTGGTGCTACTGTCTGGAGTGCAAGTAAGTTACCAGCAACAATTAAACAAATTAAATCACGACAAGACACTACCAAAAAAGTGGCGCAGCTGACTGCTAGTCAAAGAGCGGCCATGCAAAAGAGCTTTGAAAATGTCAGCGGATCGCGTACGATTGAAATTCCAACAACATCAGCAGAAGATCAGCAACAGGCACTTTCCTTACAAGAAACAAAATATGCTCGGAGCCTAGACACAGCTTATCAACAGATTGGTGATGTGTCATTTGATGAAAAAACGAAAGCATTTCAACTGCGTTTATATGCCAAAACACAATTGGCTGAGAGTGTGAGTGTCGTTGAGGCTCACCCTAGTCAAGCGGCCACAACCGGCTGGCAGTCTTTCACCAATTCATTAAAAACAACTTCTAAAACAATTGGTACTGCTTTCAAACCAGGATATACATTAGAACTGATGGGTGTGAACAATAGTCAAAATATTTTGTATGCTGCCAAAGATGGTAAAGAACTGATCAATATCGCAGAACAATAATTAATTTAAGTGAGCAGTAGAAAGGAATTTATCGTGATCTTTTTTGTGAACAAAGAAATTGGGCATGGCAACAGTGGTGTGGAGCACGCGCAATTTTATCGTGCGGATATTTTTCGGCAAGCACACCAACCCTTCAAGATGATTTATTCAGACTTACTACCAAAACTGCATGAACATGCAGCGGAATGGCATTTGCAAGAATCTGAAGTAATTGGGCTTTATGATTATTTTTTAAGTGATGATCCGGATGATTATTTGCGCAATGGATTGCGTGAGGTGAGCGAGTATCATGAAGAAGTATTATGGGATCAAACGCATACGCAACGGCGATTTGATCGTCAAACAACAGGTGGGTATTTTGAAACGATTCAACGCGTGAAGCGGTATTCTGATGAGCGTAAACTTTATTTGGTAGATGACGACCGTGTGATTTTAACCAATGGCAATCACAAAATAATGTGGCATTATCGTGATTCTGGTTCCAGAAAAAAGCAAGCTGTTAGCATACGATTATTTAACTTTAAAGGGCGAGATTATTTTTTCCAAACTTATGAAGCTTTAGTGATGTTTTTTTATGAACAATTAAATCAGACTTACCCTAATAGTCTTTACATCATTGATCGAGGGCAAGAACATGAAGAAGCTCTGATTCATCTGAAACGCCAGGGTGCCGGTGTCAAATTACTTGATGTTGTTCATGCTGCCCATTTGGCGCAATTTGAAGGGGCACATCCACTTTGGAATAATTATTATCAATACATGTTTGATCACCTTGACGATATGTCTGCTGTCATTAACGCCACTGAAGTGCAAACGCAAGCGATGAAAGCTGATTTGTCACGTGTTGGACAGAAACAACTTGATAAAATTACCACTATTCCGGTTGGTGGTGTCGAAACTGTTATGCCGGCGCGCCATTGGTCAGGAAAAGAGGCGCGATTTGTGACAGCATCCCGTCTTCATCCAGAAAAACATATCACTCAAATCGTGTCAGCAATTAAATTGTTACGGGATCAAGGACTAAATGCTACCCTAACTATTTATGGTGATGGCGGTGATATACCTCATATTAAAAAGAGCATTAGTGAGCTCAAATTACAGAAATTTGTGGCTTTGGCGGGGTTGAGTCAACATGTCATTGATGATTTGAAGCAATACGACGCTTTTGTGTCAGCCTCCTATTCGGAAGGGTTTGGTTTGACGTATATTGAGGCTATTAGTGATGCGCTACCCATTGCGACTTATGCTAATTTTTTTGGTGCACAGGAATTGGTCAAAGAAGGTCTGAATGGTCACTTAGCAACCTTTGAACGCCACCAAGATGCAACTGAAAAAAATGTTGTGCAATTGAGTCAAGCCATGGGGGCAGTCTTTCAATCAACAGCGCATTATGCTGATTTATCACGTGGCGCTGAAGCAGTCGCAAAAAAATATCAAACACAAGAAATTGCTAAAAAGTGGTCAGCGTTGATTAGGAGGGTTAATCATGAAAGTTGAACTCATCAATAGCTTAGTCTATCAAAACTTTGCTGGTATTAAATGGCAAATTGAGCAAGTAGCTAATGGTCATAGTGATGAATTATGGTTAGCTACCCCACACGAAGACGCCGTATCACTGATTAAGGCACACCATATTGCGCCAGAAAAAGTATTTGATGTTTACCGGCAACAGTATTTGGCTGAAATTGACGTCTCTAAAGGCATTTGGTGGAGTGATTTGTCGGTGCCAAATGATGCGCAAATTGTCGTTAATCAAGATTGGACGAGTAGTGTTGTGAGCTTGGGTACCGAATTGGCGCAAGTGAAGTGGTTTCCACAATCCACCAGAATTGTACAGGCTGTTTCATGGTTAGATCCCGATGGGCAGCTTGATTATAAGGACATTTACCATCGAGATGGGACGTTATTTGCTCGCCAATTCTTTAGTGAAGGTGATTTACTGGAAAGCGATTTTTACCAAACGACGGGGGAGTTGTCGACTGTTGATTATTATTTCAATGGTGCTCGTAATTTTGTCGTTCATGGACAATCACAATTCAGTTCGGCAGATACTTATTTGTTAGATGTCATGTCATCATTTCCAGAAGTGACATTTGATATTACGCAGTTAGGTCGTGAGTTGGACTTTGCACCGGACAACACACAACTGACCATGCCGGCAGGCGTGATTGATGATCAAGGTCAGATCTACCCGAATTTGATACAAATTTTAACCAACGATCAGCATAAAATTAAACGGGTTATCGTGTCAAAAGATGATTATCAACGGCTCATTAAAGCAGGGTATGCCAGCAATAAATTGGAGAAAATGTCATGACAACCATTCATATTTTGCCAGATTGGCATGAAAATGAACAGGCCATGCCACAAGGGAATGACAGTATTCATCAAGCACAATTATTTCAGTCGCAAGGCTGTGATGTGAATTTGTTATTGGTGGATTATTTGACGCGTTTGCGTTCAATGTTTCATACTAAAAATCTAGATCATGTGACATATTGGTCACTATATGATGATATACAAGAGGTCGGTTTGACTGATACTCGCGTGGTGGCTTTACAAGATTTTAGCTGGCCAGAGACGGTTTATTTTGTTGAAATGCCCGACCAGATTGTGGCAATGCAAGATGACAAGTTATTTGCCAAAATTCAATTAGATGGCGATAATTTAGGGCAAATCGTAGCCATTATTTTTTATGAAAATGATCATCAAAAAACTTGTTTAGATATTGATGATCGCGGTTTTGTGTCTCGGACAACCTATTTTGTTAATGGTGAGAAAACTGCTGTTGATTATTTGACGCCTAGTGGTGAAGTTGCTATGCATGTTTCGCTACCAGATCAGGCTGTGACAACAAAAGAGACGTGGTTCGGTGCCAAAAAATTCGCCAATACGGCAGTTTTATTTCAAGCTATTTTGAAACAAAAAATCAGTAAGATCAGTGATGAAGCACCATTAATTGTAGCACAAACTGATGTTATCAATCAGTTTTTGCTAGAAAACGACATACAACATGATATTATTTACAGCGCCCAGGAAAGACGCGAAACGTCAAAGATGACGCTACCTCAGTGCGTGAAAGCAGTCGTTACCGATAATGTGAGCACAACAATGGTAAATCAGCATTATATTCCTACATTTGCGACTATTTTGTCAGAAGGAAAGTCTCAAGAAACCGCCAATCTTGATTATTATTGGGTGGCTGATCAAACGATTGCACAACAATTGGCTGTCGTTTCTCAGTTCATCACGATATTACGGGACAACGAACATGCGCGCGTCATTGTCGACACACCGGTTGCATTATCACAAGCGGTTACCAATCTGATCGAAACAAGTGATCAATCGACTGACATAGATGATGAGTTGTTGGACAATAATGGTTTGTCAGATGAACTTAAAATGGCTGGCAACCAGCCCGCAACGATAAAAACAGTCGCGGAGCGCTTTATCATAAACATCGCGCCTACTGAGGAAAAGCAGCAACGAGCGATTGAAAAAGTCCGTGTGTTGGTTGATTTAAACACACAACCAAACGCCTACCTACAAACTTTGGCCTTATCAGCCCTGATTCCACAAATAAATGCTGTTAAAACACCATTCGTGTTGGCAAATCAAAATGGTTTCATTATTGATGATGTCAATGAACTGAGCGCTAAGATTCAGTTTTATCAACATAATATCAATGATTGGGCATTTGCTAAAAATGAAGCATTCAAGCATTCTGAGAATTACTACGATACAGTGCTTTGGTCCAAATGGCAGCGGGTGTTTGATCAAGTAAAGCCACTGGGGGAATAGCTAAATGAAACGAAAAATTGCAATTCTACAAATTGGAGATACTGATTGGCGACAAATTACCCAAACAGATTTTTTTGATTGGCATTATATGCCTGTTTCTGAGATTCATACGTTAGTAGAGTCACCGGAAGAAGATGAACCAGCCAATCAATATAATTACGTTTTGTTGACTAATCAAATTCAAGATAATCAAGCTGTTTTCGATTATGTCAACCAGTGCCCAGCTTTTCACGTGATTTACTTAACGAAAAATATTTTACCGGAATGGTTAGCAATTTTACAGGCGCGTCGGGCATTTTATTTTGATGATTTTACACCGGATCGGGTGGTTCAAAGAATTGAGACGGACTTGTATTTCGGACAGATTGGGTTTGCCACGCGTTTTAGTGAACAACAATTCGTACCGTCAGAAAAAGTAACCGGTCATTTATCACGTGGTGGTCGTTTTTTGACGCAATTTAGTGGTGATTTTGGGTCACAGTGGCAAGCGCTAGGGTATTTAAAAGTTTTAGCCGGTGATTTATCTCCTAACCGTCAAAATTTAGTTTGGTTGGAACATGAGACGCAAGGAAATATTGAAGTTGCCTTGAAATTGTATCTTTTTCGGGATGATAAGATACAACAAGTTCAAATTGTCAGTGGCGAACCATTGCACGCTTTGACACCGATTGGTGGTTTGTCTGATTATGCTAACTATCAAGTGATTGTCATGGCAAAAGGGCGTGGTCAAGTATCGTTACACGCGCTACACCAACGCAGGACACGTCATGGATTAGGACACTTGCTACCGGGTGGTGAATGGCACCTCACTTCTGAAGGAGAAGAGGTCTTAAGTTATTTTAATCCCGGTATGCGAAATAAGCCTTTAATTGTATCTTTTGCTGGATCACGGCTCTTTTCAGATGGATTTGAATTGATGGGTGTGTTTGATGAGCTGGAGACGCCATACCTGCTGTTTACGGATTCGCGCACACAAGGTGGCGTTTTTGAAGTGGGCACTAAAATTTTTAAACAAACGGTGATAGATCGTATTCGCCAAGTGATGGCGGAACTTGGGATCACTGGGGATGACGTTATCTTTCACGGGTATTC